TCAGTTAATTCAGGGAGGCACTAGAAGTGTGAATTAGTTTCTGGGGGTAGTTTTGGATAAAGTTTAACAAACTGAAATATAATCCAGACAAAATGGAGGTATTGTTTGGACTTTTTGATGTTCTGCACATTCATAAACTGGTTTAGATTAGATTGTACTCCCTGAAGAAACAAGAAAGCCATTTGGATGCTTTGCTGATGGACATAATGTTAGTGCTAAATGCTCAACTGTCATTTATGGTTAGGAGAACCTCCTGTTAGTTTTGACTTGTTCCACAATGGCAGCACCATTTATGTATTTATATATATTTCTTAGTCTGCTTTCAAGATTATGAACTTTCCACTGCTTGCTGAAAGCAGATTTGGCTTTGATAATACATGTGTTAATTAGATGCAGACTATCTTACTGTAAGATAGCATATGTGGGCCTGCTTTTGAGTCAGTTTGGAAAGTGCAATTGGTTCAAAATTTGGCTACCAGTATGCTCAGGAGTGAAGTACTACAGGTATATGGTGTCTATTTTATATCAGTTGTGTTGGTTGCTAATTGGATAGCTGGCTCAATTGAAACTGCTGGGCATGATCTTTAAAGTTCTGACTCAACTTTCTGGGACATGGGGACTACACTAGAGTGCCCAATGCCTACAGAGGGCCAAACCTTAAATCAAAATGTAACAAAATTATTAACCTACCGATTTGGATCAAATGTAAACATTCAGAGGTCAATGAAGAAATGTTAATTTGAATGCAGTCCATTTTGGAACAATATTTTACTGTGGAATTTTTTAATCTAGCTACACATGCTTACCTAGTCTGTGATTTTTATTTTTTCTGTTAGCCAAGGCATTGCTGTCCAAGGCAAGGATTGTGACAGACACCCTTAAAATGTCATGTAAATGTTAATATGTAAGCCTTGACCTACACTTGGACAGTTGTCATCTTGGAACAAGATTGTATATGATGCTAGACTGAACATGCCTGCAGCAAATTTCTTTAGGTTGATAAATATATCGGGTATGCCACAATAGCAAGCTGACTATTTTCTTTGTAAATGTCTCTGAGATGATCACTGGTTTGCAAATCAATTAGTTCCATTGGAAAAAAGTTACAGTGGTACCTTGGCTCACAAACTTAATCCATTCCAGGACTCTGGTCATGACCCAAATTGATCATGAGCCAAGTTAAATTTCCCCATAAGGTTCAATGTAAGTAAGGTTAATTTCGTTCTGTAACCATTTTTTAAATCAGAAAAATGTGAAGCAAACTGACAACAACAAAGATCGCAGCCATCTCCCACCCCAAGCACAAGCGTGGCCATCTCCCCGCCCCTCCAGTACGACCAAGATCTCACCAGTCATCCCTGCAGGCGCCCGTCATCCCGGCACGCTGGAGGGTGAGGGGGAGAGACGGGTGTGATCGTGGGCGCACTGCGGTAGGGAGAGATGGGCGCAAACGGTGCACTGGGGGTGGGGAGATGGCTGCGATCGCAGTTCTGTTCGTGCAGGGAAGGCATGCCTGATCAGAGGCGCGCTCCCGCAGGAAAGACAGACGGAATCTTGGCCATCTTCCCCGCGGCTCTGCTTTGCTGCTCCTGCCTTTCCTGCAGCAGCACGCCTCTGATCATGCACACCTTCCCTGCATGAACGGAACTGCAATCATGGCCATCTCCTCACTTGGGGTGGGGGGGAGGAGATGGCTGCAATCTTGGTCGCCACCCAAAGCAATGTTCGCGACCCAAGTCAAAAATTTTCAGAAATTTTTGTTCGTGACCCAGTTTGTTCGTAAACCAAGGCATTCGTGAGCCGAGGTACCACTGTATTTGCATCTTCTGGTGCTACTTCAAATGAATTCTGAAACATTCTTACGTCCTTTCCTTGCTTATGGCAATCAGTGAAACCTGTTCTGGAATTCCACCTGTAACAGGTTAAACGCTTTGATGTCTCTTTCAACATGGAACTGTAAATTCCTGCCCTTCTCAAATTTTAGTTGAAAAGTTTGAAAAGTTACTTCCACTAACTTTCTTCACAAAAATGTTTAGTTTTACTAAGCATGATTAAGTTTTTTTAGTATTCAGAAGCTTTCATTTCAGATTACATATCACACTCAAGCTTTCCTTTTCCCTGCAGCCTTAGATGCAATGTGTTCAGATTCTCTGTGATATCAGTTAAGAAAGCCAAATTAAGAATTTAGCTAGGGTCAGAAAGTGCTTCTTGATCTTTTCCTTTCTCCTTGAAAAAGACATCAACTTGACAACTGTTTGAGGACTTTGCCTCTCTTAAGCCACCTGACCTCTGCATGGTACAGTACATCTCCATATTCTGCATCTGTCTCTGAGATAAAATTTGAAACTGACAATAAGGCCATGAAGTCTCATGTAATTGTTAGATACAACAACACGCATCACGTTTTCCCACTGAAGAATCTTACTACACAAGGCTTACTGATGGGTGATGCAATTAAATTGCATGGGAAGTACACCATTTAATTTCAATATTTCTTCATTGATTCTTGCAACTACACCAGTTTGTCTTTCTACCATATTTCCTGTATGATTGGTTGTGATGCTATCCAATTTCTCCCAACTCAGAGCAAGATTTCTTATTGATTCACACACCTTCAAGAATATGTTTTCTGCAGTAGTAGTGCTTTCAAACTATGCAGTGCACACAATTCTTCTATAATTCTGGTGGAATCTGTCCCCCTGATCAACATTGGTAGTGAAGCAATGTGTGTAATGTCATTGCTCTCATCTAATGCCATTCCTTTTCGTTCCTTTTCTTTCTTTTTTTTCCCGCGCCTTTACCATCAGTGACACATGCAACTCTTCTCCTAGTTCTTCAGCATGCCTAGTGATTATAGATGCAGATAAACTGACACAACTAACACAAGATACCTTTATCAGGGCACATTTCCTCTATTATTTTAACCATGCACTTCTTAACAAATTCACTATTAGTGAATGGCCTACCACTCTCAGCAATACATTTAGCAACATGATATCTGGCTTTAACAGTCAACAGGTTCTCGTCAACTTGCTTTCTAAAAATGTTTTGCTGCAAAAACATTGATTTTTTAAAGAAAATTATCTTGTTCATTCACACTTCTCCTTTATATATTGAGTAGCTCTTGCGACAGGATTCAAAATGTCTTTTAACATTGTAGTCCTTTAATACTGAGACAGGTTCAGGACATATCAGGCAAACTCTGCTATCATTGTTTAAAACAAAGAAGTACTCCGTAGTCCATTTGTCATTAAAGACACAGTGCTCATCTGCAATTTTTGTTTCTTTGAAACAGCACTTTCTTTTGCAGCCATCTTCTTACAGAATTTTAGCAGAGCAGCAGTTGCAGTTTTCATATTATTCTTGAATAAATAAAAATATGAGAAGTATAGTTGAAGGGTCTAACTCTTCCCTTTCCCATGAAATCCACCCCACTCTGGCTGCTGTTAGCTGGGATTTTTCATTTTGGCTATGGCAAAGAAGAGACCCCTGCCTCTACAGTTCTCATTGGGCCATATGAACAGGCTATTTAAAACATGGATTTAATTTTTTAAACATGGATTATGAATATGACCTACCAGATGGCAGAGTTGTAATCCTAAGTACATTGAATACTATGAGATTTATTTCTCAATAAGAACACTGTCTTGGGGTTTAAATCTGTACATGCTAATACTTTAAAAATTGGGGGTCCTCCAAAAAAGGTCAGGTAGAGGGTAAGAGGAAATGAAAGGGCAGCCTCCCATCTGGAGCAGAGGATATGCCATCAAGTTGGCTTCCAGTTATATGCATGGTGCATGTACACGTCACTGCCTGCCAGCCAAGCATCAATCATGACAAGCAAAATGGCAGCCGTGGGAAGGGAACTTGGCAGGAGGAAGAAGGGAGAAGTATAATCCTATAAGCTTCCCTACTAAGAAAGTACTCCTTGCCTCTCAACCTAAGGGGCTATTCACTGGCTCCTGCAGTCTCATATGCATGAGAAAACTCCTAGCCAGAGTGGGTAGGGAGGGGCAAAAGCAAGCAAGGCAAAAATCAGAGCAACCAACTCTTGTTGAGGAAGGAAGAATGCTTTTGCCTGAAGCAGCAACCTCACCAGTAACCTTGGAAGCCACTTAGAGGATCCTTGATGGGTGGAGCCTCTAGAAATGTTCAGTATGCAAAACACTTTGTATCCTTTTTGCAAAAATACGAGGCCTTTTACTCTCCTTTTCCTGTGTCCCCCCATTTTTGCAAAGCGGGCCAGATATCTCCTGTACTCATCCACACAACTGCTTTATCTTCACTCATATACAGCCTTCAACATGGTAATACATGGAGAGGAGGAATGAAAAAGTTGAGTAGTATGAGTACCTGAGCTTTGCTGGCTAGCAAAGCACCCAGAATGGCCAAAATGCTAGTATGGAGGATAAGACCAAGAGGGGGTTGTCAGAAGGAACCATGGAGACCAGAAGAAACATGTTGCTATTGTGTTTTTTGTAAGAAAGGGAAAGGAAAAACAGCAGTAGATAGTGCTACTTGAGGCAGGAAGAACAGTGCGGGAAGAAAAGGCATTTCTTAAGGAAAATGCCTTGAGGGTGATGGCAGTTGGAGGGCAGCATAGAAAGTGCTTGGGGCCTACGTAGAGCCCATGGGGTGCAGGTTGGGGCCATCTGTTCTAAATGGCTTGGCACCACATTTTTCATGGATTGTCTGTGGTTATAGGAATCTCCCTAAGCCTTGAGACCGAAATCTGAGACTCTGTTGTCAACCTTGTCATTAATTAAGATCCAGTTGACAGTGAATAGAGACCATGACTTCTCAGTGGTGACTTCACAGTTGTGGAACTTTATGATGAGCTATTTGAGAATGGTATCTGACACTTCTAATGAAATTAAATGTGAACTTACGAGGTGGTGATAAATAGTACAATACTTTTGTCTTAAATACTATGTTTTCATGAAGGACATTGACATTACTGTTTTCTCGTTCTGATCATTTTTCTTTCTTTATTTAAACAGTGAGCAGAGCATCTGCCAAGCACGAGCTGCCGTAATGGTCTATGATGATGCCAATAAGAAATGGGTGCCTGCTGGTGGGTCCACTGGATTTAGCAGAGTTCATATATATCATCATACAGGCAACAATACTTTCAGAGTGGTTGGCAGGAAGATTCAGGATCATCAGGTGAGTTAATTCACTATGCCAAAGCAATTACAATAGCTTTGTGAAGCATTTTCTTCACAAAGCCAGAAACACCTGTCATATATCTTCTTTGGCATAATGTTGAAGTAGACAGTTTCTTAGCTTGCATGTTTAGTTGTAAAAGAAAAAAGATTGAAATGTTTTTACAACTTGCATCACACTCATTCTCACAAAGTGGTGATTTCTTACAAGCTTCGTACAAGTATTTTCCCAGCCTGGAGAGATCCCTTTGAAGCTCACAATCCAGTTTGGTTTTAATTACCTTAAATAGTTTCATGCATTCAGCAAACTTGGCCACTTCACTGCTTACTTCTAATTCCAGATCATTTATGAATAAAATGAAAGGCATTGATCCAAATATAGAACCCAGTGGGATGTCACTGGTTATTTTCCTCCATTGGGAGAAATTATCATTTATTCTGACTCTTTGCTTCTGCTTTTTATGCAGTTGCTGATCCATAAGAGAACCCCCTTTCCTCACCTTTTATTCCATTATAGCTAAGTTTGCTCAGAAATCTGTTTTTCTTTGTGGTCTCTGTGCAATCACATGCATGGGCTTTGCCGCAGAGTGCAAAGCCTCAATTGGAGAATGTTCTATGGATTCTAGCTCCTGCTAATTACAGTCTTGAAGAAAAAGGAATGCATACCTGCCCAAAAGCATTTGGAATTGAAGAATGTTAAATCAAGCCAGAATAAGTGCTCTGAAATTTTAGCAATATGCAGTAAAGGACAAACTAGAAATGATAAGCTTAGGAGATAGCGAAAGAGCAAGGTGAACAGGTTGTAAATGAAGGAGCCAAAAGTTCTTGAAAAGCATATTTCCAAAGTCTTTGTTTGATTATGGCAGGTACATTGTAACCCACACAAAGCAGTAAAATGGATGAGAGTTCAATATAGGCAGCTTTTGAGGCAACAGAGTTTGTCCAGTCATAACAATATGTGTCCTCTGGTAAATGTATTAGCAGGCCTGTTATTATTTTGAAAGCAAAGATCCTAAGCTGAAGCTTTAAGGCTAGCAATTAGGCTTCTGCTTTGAAAGACCACTGTCTTGATTTCCAAAAGTATAGCTGCATTAAGAGCACATTTTCCTATTTGTAAAAGGGCTGATAGGAATTTAACTTGAACAGCATCTAATTCAGATGATGCTACTCTGTTCCGAACTGCAGTTTGAAAAAGAAGTTGAGTATTGTCCTCACATCAGTTACTTCAGCAGTTGCAGGAATTGACTCCCTTTGTTGTGTGTGTGTGTAGCAGATCAGTTAACTTGAGCTATCAGGAAGGCATGACAGAGTATGATGGAATGCTACCCGCAAATAACAAAAGATCTTAAATTGTTCTACAGTGTGATCATCCAGGATCCATCTTTGTTGGGAAAACTTGCGTAATTTATTCACCTGTTAAAGTATTTAAAGTACTTTTATAAACTATCACATTATGAGTTTAATTCCTTTTAAAGCATTCTTAGAAGCGTTTTGTCATAAAAGGTGACATAAATCTCCTTTGAATAGATAATAATTTGGAAGAATAAACTTTACTTTTTTCAACACTGAGTTTTGATTTTCAATCTGAGTTTTCAACACTGAGTTTACAATATAGGCAAAAAGTTTACAAGTGCTATCTTAAAATTAACTTGAATTATTGGACTTATTTTAATTAGTTACGATTGTGGAAGGGGTCATTCTGTGTTCCAATCTAAAGTAGGTTTATTTGCATGGAGCATTTATTTTAGTTTGCATAGGAATATTTACCAGTGAAAATTAAGTTGATTTGTGTATGATTATTTGCATAGAGTTAACATTTTAATGTGCTAGAGAGATCTAATTTAGTATGCTTGTTTTATTTGTATTTAGTGAACAGTGCTAAAAATGATCCCATGTTAATTTTTGGCCCAGGATACCACAAGTATTTATCTTGAAATGTTAGAGGAGAATCTTTAAAGGAAGTGTAAGGCTCGGTCCTGTGTATGTTTAAACAGAGGAAAATGCCAAAACTCCCAGCATTCCCCAGCCAGTATGAGAATCTAAAAAGTTATGCAGAATTATTGTAAAAAATTGAACTTTCCTTACCTTAATTATAGTTGCCATACATTCATTTTTGCATATGAAATGGGAACTTTTAAACAAAAAAAGGAAATACTGGAAAAAGTTTGCCTGGTATTAGTGCTCCTATGTTAGGTTGTGGTTTTATGCCAACTGGCTTCTACTGTGTTGTACACTGTTTCAATTGCCTGGGCTTAGGCAAGTGGAGTAGAGATAAATTGTTAAATAGAAACTACCATGTTACATGGAAAGCTACTTTTGAAACTGAGGGAAAGTGGTCAGTGATCTTATATATCACAAGTATCCCTGCAGAATGGAGCAAGTCACTGGAGCTCATAGAAGAGTTTTCTATTCACTGGTTCCAGTTCAGAAACAAAGTTATTTCCATTAGTTTCTTAATTTGCTTTAGGAATTATCCTCATCATCATCTCTATACTGTCCTGTAGCCAGAGCTTTGGGGCAGTTCACAATAATCCATAAAATAAAACAATAAAATGCAATCAAAATTGTAAAATCAAGGGAGAAACTAAAACATACAACAAATAATAACCCTGTAAATAGTGCCTTGGATGGGTAACCTTCCCAACCCCTGGGTAGCCAAGTAAATCTTTAAAAATCTTTGCATATAGAGCTATCTTATCTTGCCACCATAATGATGACAATTTTGGTACTAGGAGGGCTATTTCATACATGATGTCCAGCACAGAAAGAGGCCTCCCACTTTTGCTACCCTCCAAGCTCTCTCAGATTTGGCACTCAGAGGGGAAGGTTCCAGAGGTTTGAGCATAGTGTCAAAGTAGATTGTTAATGCTACTGTTGACTCCGCATTGTGCTAGCAGCGGATCTCAGTGGTGCAATGGAACTAGCAGAAGCACTGCAGCAGTATTGAATACTGCCCATAGTGATCTGCAGTTCAAGGAAAAGAGTAAAAAAATTCCTACTGAGAGCTGAAGTAGCTATTCTGATTCCACTATATTCTGTAGCTATTGATTGCTTTTGTTCAGAATTGCTTATATACAGGAGAAATTAAACCTATCAGTGTGCAGTAGCATACAAACTGACTATACTTGAAAGAACTATTAAAGATAGAATCAGGAAGCTCATAGAGGGAAAAACCCTGCTGAACAAAATCAACATGACTTCCACAAGGGAAAGTCTTGTCTCATTAACCTATTAGAGTTCTTGGAGAGTAGCAATACACATATAAACAGGGGCAATCTAGTAGACATTGTTTACTTGGACTTCCAGAAGGTTTTTGACAAAGTTCGACACCAAAAGCTCCTGAGCAAACTAAGCAGTCATGGAATAAAAAGGGTGGGGGAGTCCTTCCTCTTAGGAATCACTAACTGGTTACCGAACAAAAGACAGAAAGTGGGAATAAATGGCAATTTCTCCCAGTAGAGAGATGTCACCAGTGGAGTCAATATAGCACATCTACTTCAGTGTAAGCAGGTGTAGAGTAATGCATATTGGGACAAAAAAAAAATAAATCCCAACTTCAAGTATACACTAATGGGATCTGAATTAGCAGTGACTGAGCAAGAAATGGAACTTGGAGTAGTGGTAAACAATTTTATGAAAATGTCAGCTCAGTGCTCAGTTGCTGTGAAGAAGGCAAACTGTATATATTAACTGTATATTAACCTTATATGATATTAAATTTATATTAAGTGTGAAAATGTTCACTAAAAATATAAGGCTGTGTATAATAGAAAGTGGTTTAAACATTATATGGGATATATAAAATACCCAACTGAAACCACAGAATAAAACAGATCAGACAAGTAATCAAGTAATTTGATTTTCTCATTTCCCTAAAATATACTGAATATGTTAGGAAACGGGCAAATCCTAAATGGCCCAGGTCCATCATTCCAGTAGTAAATGTGTTCTTTCATGAATAAGCCATAAAAAGTGGTCATGTTTAGAATCCCTTCAAACTGCAATACATACATACAGGTTACATGGAACACAGCCTATTCAGTCACAGTCCCTTCCATGTGGCATTGAACTCCTTCTTGAAATTCATTTCAGGTCACCTGTACTATAAAATTTGTATTATAATGTATTGAAGACTGCTTAATAATTGGTTCTGAATTATTAAACTGTTTTAAAGTACAACAAATTAATTGTTTAATTCCTCTTTTATCTTCTTGAAACCATGTACTAGCTATTTAAAACACATGGGAGAAGCATCTTTAATTTTATGAAACATTTTTTAGATTTATCAGCGTGTTGGTTTATCTTTTATTTGAGCTAACTTGCCTGCTCTTGCTTTGACATATGGATTGTACTACTTAGCACAGCAGATATTTGGTGGCTAATGATTTAAAAGTTTCATTCAGGTAAGTCAGTACAGAGGGATATCTATGTTGATACCAGTATATACATTTCAGAGTATCGGATCCTTTAATCAGGATTTCAAGTAAATCTATTAAATATCCCAGAGCAAGAAACATTTGTTTATATCCACATAGTAAAACATCATAAAGTGCACTTGAATCATAACTGTACATTTTCATCTGTTTAGGTGGTAATAAATTGTGCCATTCCAAAAGGATTGAAGTACAACCAAGCAACACAGACATTTCACCAGTGGCGGGATGCTAGACAAGTGTATGGACTCAATTTTGGCAGCAAGGAAGATGCCAATGTCTTCGCAAGTGCCATGATGCATGCCTTAGAAGTGTTAAATTCACAAGACTCTGGTAAGGCTACTGTCAGCTTCCAAATAAAGTCAGTTAGTTTGACTTTATTTCAGTTACTTACTAGTATAGTAAAATTATTGAATCCGTATTTTAACTTATTGCACATTCTTACCTTGAATTAGCCAGAACGTTATGCTGCATATGAATCTTCTGAATGTAGATTCAAACATTGATATTTGTGTTTAGTACAGTGAAGAGTTAACAAATTGTGTATATACAGTCATGAGTATTGTATTAGCCTTCATGAGTATTGTAGAATGGATAATTGATTTTATTTGGGAACAGACTGCAGCAAGAATCCAGGCAGCATTTCCGGAATTTGTGGTTGTTAAGCTTCTCAGGTGGAATGAAATAAGAACCCTTTAAAGAATGCATAGGTCAAACTGCAGCATGGATCTACCAATATTTTGGGAGGAGCCTGGTTCTTATTATTTTAATAATGATTGTTCACTAGCATTCCAGTAGGTCTTTGAAGGAACTTTAAGCTCTTATTTTCAGAACAATTAGATGTGGTGCTGTTTGGGTTGTCAAAAGCAGAGCATTATCTCCAGCTCATCTAGTAAGTGTTTTTCCTTTTTTGTCTTTGAAAAAACAAATGTGAAAGTTTAAACATGATGACAAATGGCAAAGTAATTATAGCAATTCTAGTTTAAATGAGTTTTCCCAAAAGTTATTAAAACTTTGGTATAGTTCACAAATCTTTATACCACCATACAGTTTTTTAGCCTTTTAAAGAAACTAAGTTTTGTTGCTGCAGTGCAGCTAACTATTTGAAATGTCTGCTCATTGAATAGCTACTTTAAAAAGTAAGATTTCACTCATGAGAAATTGATTTCTGTCCAAAAAAAGTATTTGACTTTTTAGCCATTCTGCAAATACCAACTGGGAGAGCTTCTGTAGTACTTACTAACACTGTTAATACTTAATTGTACTCTTGACAGTTTTAAACAGATTCTTTTAAAACTATGGTATGCCAAACAGTTAGTGCTTAAATAGCAGGATTGGGAAGAAGGTAGAATTTTTTGACATAAACTAGATGTCAGTTGTGAAAGCAGCTTTCACTGGTGGATAAAGACTGTTCTGTTAAATTGCTGCATCTTGCTGTACTGATGTTGTTTTTCCCTTCTAGTGGAAATACAGTCTGCAGCTGTTCTTGAATGAATGTGTTTGATTATTGCCTTCATAATTTTCTGTGTAACCTCAAAAACATTATGCCAACATTATATTGCTTTGGCAAAAATGATATATTTTCTTGAATGTATGCATAACCATTTATATACATACAATACAGTGGTTGTATATCTTTTTTGTAAGAACTGCCAGGTCATAGGTATATTTTTGCTTTGTTAGAGTTTTTAGCAGCTTGCATCTTACCTCTTTCTATATTGTTCAAGCTAGTAGTTCAGATTCATGATGAAAGTAGTAACATGCCAGATAGTTTATTTCTGCTGTTAAAAGGAAAAACAAATGGCTTCTTAACAACTAAAATAAGCTGGAGTAACAGATGAACACACAATCAACTAGAATGTTATAAAGAATGTAGCAATTTAAAATCTAATAGAATACTACTGTTGAATTTTATTAAAAACATATGAAGCTTAGTGTAGTTCAGGGAATTTTCTTTAGGGTGACTTAAGAGTCTAGGTTCCCATTAGATAATTCAGAGAAACTTGTCCCAAGATTGAAATTGGGAGTCTGAACCCTGAGCACCTTTCCCTGGCATCACAGCCTCTGCAGAAAAAACTGCACCATCTGCAGCACCAGAATTGCACTATGACAGGCTTTTAGGGGTAAGTAGGAGATACTCCATCAGCGTACACTGTCTTGGCAGTGCCTCTGTCTTTTCTTCTTACTCTCTGAGGTCAAATACTTAAAAGAGCTGAAATTGACCCTCTTAAGTTTTTGGCATGGCAGGAGCAGGGTAGAGGTCTCCACACTTTTCTCAAATGCATAGGATGCCCATAATCCTCCCAGTTCAGAGGGCTATGGGCAGTCTCACTTGATTGTGCTATTCAACTTTAAAAACTGAGCAGATATAATTTTGATAGCCATGCAGATGCAGCACTTTCAAGCCCTTAGTCATGGTTGCTGTTGAGAGCTAGGTTTCCCCATTTGCCCTTTCAAAACAACTGACCATTATTTGGTAAAAGCTCTTTATTCTCCATTGTACATCCAGCAAAGCATAATCAGCAAAGAAAGTCTCTGAGCACTCACAGAACAGTTCCGTTGAACCTGCATTAGAAATGATCTCCAAGGACACCCTTTTCAGTATTTCTGGCTCCCACCCTTCTGAAGGGCACCTTTTGAGACAGCCTCTTAATTGTATGTTACCATTCTGGTTGGCTAGCCCTTGTCTCCTGACCCTGCATAATGGGATTAAGGATTGTATCTGGCTTCTGTTCCATGTTCCTTCTTGGCAGTTACACTGTAGCTATTCTCAGGGTCTGCCTGAACACCTGGAGAAGGTGGCCTTGAGATAGGCCCTTTTGCCTTTTCCATCTCGAATTCTGGAGGCTGTTTCCCAGAGCTCCTCCCCCTCCCCCTCTGAAGAGTCTGAGTCTCCCTGGACTTGAAATTTTTAACAAGAACTGCCTCTTTCATTCCCAACAGTTAAAGGATTACAAATACAAGAATTTTAATGCAGACAAGTTCATTCTTATCCAAGACGTATGCTGTCCTGTTTCTAAATTCTAATTTGAGAGAATCTTGTTTGGTGCTAATTGTGGTCTCAGCCACAATTAAAAGATCAGGACCAATATAAAAATGGTCGCCCATGTCTATGTTTCCTAATTGAATATAATTAACACTCTGCAGTGGAGTAGGCAACTTGTGGTGCTGCAGGTGTTTTGGCCTACAACTATCATCATTTGTCACCATTGGCTATGTTAGCTAGGACTGATGGAAGTTGCAGGCAAAACATCTGAAATGGTGCAAGTTAGCTGTTCAGGTTTTCTGAAGGAACAGTGACAGAAACTTGAACTGTAAATGAGGTTAATAAACTAAGGCTACAGTTCTGGAACTAAGCCACACTGAATTCAATAAAGAGCATGTACAGGATTATGTTGAAAACCAGCTTTTTAATTCAGAAAAGGGATTTGCCAAACTTGTTGATAACTGAAGCTTAATTTTGGTATATTTTGTAACCTGATAATTTTATATGAAATCCAACAATCAAATGATGTTTAAATAGAATATGGTTCTCATTCAGTTAGAAGTAAAGCATAAGGGTACCCACTACATTCTTTTCTTGATTTGAATAATGTTTTACACAGAACTAAATTATTTTTTCTTTCTAGAATGTAAATTAATTTGACCAAATAACATAGAAATCCATGCCTGTAAAACAAATGAGCAGTGCTGTTCATATCTTGAATAATCTTAATTTTGTATCCCTAAGCAATCATTCACATTCTAGATAGAAAATCCTTCTGAATTGATCCTATCTTGAAATAATTTTCCTGAGTCAGCATAGACTGTTTAACACATGTGTTACTGTTTCTTTGCTATGTTATGCCACTTGAATGATCTTAAATAGATTGTAAAGTTAATGGAGCTACATAGCCTGCTTAATCAGCTGAAACAGAGTGAGTTTTTGCCTACTGAGGAAAGCAGTTCTCAGAAACAGCTGGAAAGGTGCTTTCCTTTTCAAAAAGTTCAGACTACAGCATCTCCAATCTCTTAAAATATTGATCATATTGTGATAGGTAATAAAATGAACAAATTATTTGATGTTGAGAAAACACATCAGAGAGATCATTGTTAAGGTCAAAGAATTGCAATGAGACAATTAAAAGCATTCTGGGACAAGGGCACTTAAAAATATCTGTGAGTGGTGAAGAAGATTTTTCTATAACAAGTCAAGAGCTAGATAAAGAAACTGCTTTGCTATGTTTGAATGCACTACACATACTCCTACTTCAGAGGCTGAGTTTAAAATGAATGGGAAAGATATAAAGATGGTGTGGAAAATCACTTTTTGATGGGCAGAATGTGAATGACAACCAAACAATGGATTGTGATACCATCTGAGACTGATTTCATCAAGGCTTCCTTTTAAACTGGGATTTTTAAAATTCCTGGGTGTGGCTGGGTGGGCAAATTCCTGGGTGTGGTTGGGGGAGGGTGGTTTGACAGAGGCATATTATAATTTCATATGTATATGGGAAACTGGAATAAACACCTGGGAAGATTATTCTGGGAATAATCACCTGCTCCCTTTGTATGAGGAAAAAACTGGCTAGCAGTTGAACAGGGAATCCAAAGGAAAAGGGTTAAGGAGACGCTGTTTAGTCATCAGCTGAAACCTGATAGTTTAAAAGATTAGATGAAATGTGCTGTGATGTTTATTCAAGTGGCTTGATTAGCTGTTGAATACAGACCTGATGGTAACTCATATTCCCTCAGTGAAGGAACATTTAGTGATTGGTTCTGGCTCAGTTTTTAAGTAGTACTTCAATATACTCTTATTTGTGACTGAAGCTAGTGTTTTATATTGAAACATTTCATATTTTAAAGCATATATAAGTGAAATATTTTTGAGTATATGTGTGTGTGTAAATTCTATAGAGCTAAAATTTTATTTTTTAAATGAAATTTATATATAAACTGGATGCATGAATTATGATTATTTGTTTTGGTTTGGAGTGTATAATAGATTGACAGCAAAGATAATTTGGGGAAAATGTGAAATGAGAAATGGATCCTAAATAGTGTTATAATACTTGGATTAGAACAAGTAGTAAGAAAACATGGGAGGGTCACAAGTAGAAGATACTGCCATCTGGTACCCTCTGTAAACTTTCTGATGGATTCCCTGGTTTCAGTTTCCCAGACTCCATTCTGTGTTGCAGTGGCCTAGAGTCCAAGTTTCTTGGCAAGTGTGCTCAGTTTTTGCAGATACTTGCCAGGAATTGAGTCCTATGCGCTGCACAAGCAGTGTCATTCTTTTGCACTACCACTGCTATCTTGCTAGGAACAGCGGTTGGTGCACTCCTTTACTC